TACAAACATACGAACAATACAAACTAGAGGTCTAGAGCGACAAAACATACACATAGATTTACAAACAATACGAAACATACGAACTATACAACAATACAAACTAAAACATTACAAAACATACTAACAGTACAAAATGCCACTACTTACAATATAAAATAGTAAATTGTATTATAAATTAATGAATACAATGTATACAAATCAAACAACATAAAATAAACAAACTAGACAAACAAACATTACAAATTACCATGTATACAAACCAGTCATATAAACATTACAAACATAATAGATAAAAATGACAAACTAGAATGATAAACGATACAAACTGAATTGATACAAACATTACAAAATAGTCCGACAAACATCACAAAGCTGGTGTTGCCGCCAGAAATTTTCCCTACGTCGAAAATCCTCCTCCACCATCGCCAGAAAATCAAATCTCTCTCTCTCTCTCTCTCTCTCTCTCTCTCTCTCTCTCTCTCTCTCTCTCTCTCTCTCTCTCTCTCTCTCTCTCTCTCTCTCTCTCTCTCTCTCTCTCTCTCTCTCTCTCTCTCTCTCTCTCTCTCTCTCTCTCTCTCTCTCAGGTTGTATGTACGCCCGAATCTAAACAGGGAAAAAACTAGCAAGCATGCAAGTTTTTTTAATTTTAAATAATTAAATAATCTGCAATTACTAGATTACCATTCACTAAATGAGATCAATTACACCCCTTAGATTCTAATGAGCCTCAATTGCTGAGATTGATTTAGTCAGGTAACTAAGGGAACCCCTAGTCACCTGATCTTAGCCCAACCGAACCAAACCTACAGTCTATGGTCCAATCGAGAACATCAATCATATACTAGGAACCCGATTAAATACTACAAAGTTCATACCAGATCATGCATGTATGATCTGGTCAAGTCTGGTCGTCAGGATCATATATATTGAGCGAAAAATAAACAGTTTGTTTCATATGATAATCGAACCAATAATATAAAAACCTTATTATTTTTTTCCTTAAACCATAAATTCCAATGTATATATAATTTTGATATTATAAATCCTAGATAATAACAAAAATATAAAGTCAGGACACCCAACTTGTATTATAATGTCATAAACATACATAATCTCATATGAAGACATGCTTATCTCTACAGTGTGGTGGAGTGTGATTTATAAATGAAGAAGGGGATGACACTCACAACATTAGGGTTGAAACTTGGGTTTCGCTAAGGAGTTGGGAGAGTGGTATAGTGAGTTGCTAACACGAATTCGTGGGTTGTGTCCATGGTTTTGCCTGATAAACCGTGATCTAAACAAAACCAAAACATCAATACGTCCGATAATACAGATCAAGGGACATACCATATCATTCTTAATGGTCTACAACTCGGACCCAAACTATGTGGTCTGGTTTGTCCATGGTTTTTCAAACGGTGTGGTTTATTTCTCCAACCCTAACAATAAACCTTATTATTTTAAATTAACTCAAATGGTCGTTTGGATTAAGGTTGTAAATTGACATGACCCGTCCCGACCCGTTCCTGAATGGTCAACTTGTATAACTGACCCATCCCGTCCCTGTCTGACACTCTAAGGTTGGGTTGGGACTGGTAAGTATGGGTCAGCTCAAATCAAAACATAGATTATTTAAAATTATATTTAGTACCAAAACTTATTTTTTCTTACAACTTGGTACCTAAATTACATTTTTTACAAATAGGTCCAAAAATTTTGATGGCAAAATTACATTTTAGTACCTTTATATTTTTTAGTTTTCAATATAGTAGCTACCGTTTTAAAACTTTACAAATAGGTCCCATATGTTGGTATGAGAAATTCATATCACTAATTTTTGCTAGGGTCATAGGGTCAAAAGTGACCCATCTCTAAGTTGTCGTCCCAATCTGTCCCAACCCTTACAGGGTCGACAAATTACCCATCCCTAGTCTGGCCTTGTAGACAAACTAACCCGTCTCGACCCTGATTCGGGTCTAAATGCACACATTTTACCTCCTGATTTCTTGATAGTTTGACTTGGCATTTCATCGTCTCTCGACCTATTTTACGTTAGGGTGTGCTTGTTTTGTCATATTTCAAGTCCTAGCACGTGTGAAAAGGTCGAGGACGAGTTTCAGGTCGATTGGAGGTCGAAAAACGCGAAAAAGTGAATAAAACGTCTGCTTCCAGAGCATTTCTACATGTTACTGGCATCGAGTCAGTTCACAGTCGCAAGACCGTGAACTGAGGCCCTAGACCGTGAACCAGTTAAGTGAAACGGTGCGAATTGGTTCGAGTTCACGGTCTACACTTGATGTTCAAGAGTCACGATCGTGAACTGCGACCGTGAACTGGGTGCGACCTGTGTATAAAAGGAGAAGGGAGCTGAAGGAGAAGGAGGAGCTTTTGGTGGGTTTTTAGTGTGTAGAATAAAAGAGGATTTCTAGTGAGAGATTAAGGTTTCCTCTTCCCATTCTAGAGAGAGTGCCATTCAAAGGAGGAAGAAGGAGATTTGGGCTTGCCCTAAGCTAGAGGAGTGAAGATTCTTACCTCTCAAGGGATATTCAAGCAAGGAGGAAGGAAAATTGTCATCTATTGATGGTTCTTTCTCTCCTTTTTCTTGTTTCCCTTTGCCTAGCTATGGAATAGCCCACCTAATCATTTGGGTATTGTGAAATATAGTCTAGATTTATGTTAGGATGTAAGAACTTGATTCTATTGTGTTGATTGTGCGTGTTAGGATGTCTATTGCATTATCTCATTATTGGTCAAATTAACCTAGAGGGTGGAAATCCCCCTTTGGCCCATAGGGAGCTCGACCTCCTAGCCTCTTGGGTAACCCCTTCTAGGTTAATCTAGGGCTATTACCTCAAGTATCGGAGTAGTACCATGATTCTTTCATGATTGGTCACTCCGCCGTCCGGATTAAGTTCCGAGGGATTAGTTTGCATTCCTTAGTTGATTAGTTAAGAGAGTTAGATTGCCTAGCCTATTGTCGCAATCCTTGGCTGAAAGGTTAAGAGAGTTAGTCTACTAACCTATTGTGACAATCCTTAATTGGTCAACTAAGAGAGTTAGGGTTTTCTTCGTCGATCGGACAAGAGAGCTAGGTTCCCTAGCTTTTTGTAGCAATCTTTGATTGATCGACCTAGGACGGTTTGCTCCTAGCTTGTTGCACACGCCTCACGATATATGAGCACATCCTTCACACTAGGGTTTCGTTTATTGTTTCTTAGCGCGAGACTAGGGGAAGCAATACCCAAGTGAGGTCCTCTCATATAGAATTCTCCAAAATTTACTTTACTTGGTTCTTTATTTTTCTTAGAAACGTGCTGCTACAGATCGAGAAATCGTCGGAATCGAAAAAGTAAAATACGAAAGCGAGAATCGAAAAACACAGACACACGATTTACGTGGTTCACTAACACAATGTGTGTAAGCTAGTCCACGGGCGAGAGAGAGCCAGTTTCACTATATCAAGGAGATTACAGATTACAGAGGAGTATGAGAAGTATTTATAGTACTTCTCCATGTGGTTCTAAACCTAATCCAATATGGCAAAGGAAAAGGTTACAGACCAGGCCCAGAACCCGAACCCAAATAACATTGAGCCCATACACTGCGGGGCGGGGGCGTTGCTCCTGGACCCCACTAATCCAGTCGTAGCGGCTGATAGTCCGATTCATGTCACATCAACAATTTTGTAGTCTTTCTTAGTTTTAAAACCAAAACCGTTTTGCTAGATAACAACCTAAGCGATTGAAGTAGGGTTACATAGACCGACTCGGGTTGACAATTAAAACATATTTGCCCTATACTGCACCCCGCTAGAGTTTATGCTTGAACTCTAGTCGAGATTTAGATCGCGATGTACTCGTGACGAGTCAGACACTAAGAAACAGGATGGGACGGGTCGGGACGGGTCAATGGCTTCAGGGTCAAGATTACACCCCTAGTTTGGACGAGGGAAGTATATGCAGGATTTCAACATAACTCCTCAATCTGCAGTATTTGAGCAAAAAGTCTCGTTTGAGAAGGACTAAATAAATTATAGATTTTGGACCCGAACAATTTTAAAACCCCACATATGTGGTGTTTGAAAATAGCTTATCCCCTCATCTTTTTCAAATTTCCATGTCCGCATATATTCTATGCAAAAACTAACTCGAATTTAGCCTTCCTGCTTCATTTTCTTCTTCTTCCTTCTCGTTTCTCCGATCTGTCTTCTTTCTATCTGAGCTATGCCTATACCAAACCAAAATAATATGACCATTAGCCCTCAATCCACTTACCCGATCGGGGCAGCGGCTTAACCAAGTTGATACAATTGGTGGAGATCGCCCTCATTGAGGGTGTAGTAGAAAATTAGATACCCACGATCTATCATCCCATTTGCAATTGCAACGGAAGTACAAGTAATGTCGATTTGCAATTAATAAAAAGTCGGGTTAATACTTTATTTTGGCCCGAACTATGACCATATAATCAACTTTGGCCCGTGGTTTCAGAAATTAACATTCTGGCCTCAACTAAGCAACATATAGACTCAATTGACCCAACACATGGTTTGACCGTCAATTTGGACGGTCAACACCATTGATCGTTAGTCAACCCGCCATATCATTGACTCGTCAGCCTAAAAATCATTAAAAAATTCAAATTATTTTCCTAATTTCTATTATTTATCATTATCACATTAACCAAAAAATAAAAAAAATATATAAAATAAATTTTATTTTTTATTTTCTGAAAATGATAAATTTAATAAATAAACCATGTGTTGGATCAATTGAGTCTATATGCTGTATAATTAATATCATAATGTTAATTTCTGAAACCACGGATCAAAATTGATTATATGAATAATTCGTATAATAATTCGTACCAAAATATTAACCCTAAAAATTAAACACAACCAAGGCCCATACCCGAATAATAGCACCTTTTGGCCTGGGATGAGGCCTCATGCGGGCCTATAAAGTTGGCCAAAGCAAGACGTCATGTACAAACGTCGCCGTTTCACAAATCTTCACGGGCTCCCTCTCTCTCTGACTCTCTCCCACATAATCTTCTGACAAACACCAGTCACTGCTCATCGCGAAGTAATTTTAGTTTCTGGTGCTGGATCCAATTCTCTCTTCACCAAATTTGATCGGACTGAGAGCCACCACAGTCGAACGAGTCTCCGAATCGCAGCATTGAGGTACGGTAAAATCTTCCATCCTTCCCACCTCTTAACTTTGAATAGCGCCTGAGGGATCAATTCGATGCTCAAATTTGTTCCGTTTGCATCTTACGAACGCTAGCTTGATCTAGGTCTGATGACATCCAGGGAAGAGGGAATTTAACTTTTCCCCTTCTTAATCTGGTTTTCCTGTGCTTTTGGAGTTTTTTTTGTTTTTGGATTTATTTCTCTGTGATGTATGAATGGAGCGTGATCAATGGATCTGGAGGGAGCAGATATGTGTGTGGGAGTGCTGGTATTATTCGTTACGGAAGATCGTCGTGGTCACAACTGTCTTTTCTTGCAGTTGATCCTCCATCCTCAAAATGGCTAATAAAGCTCCAATCCGCACCAACGACTCCGCCCTCATTGCAATGATAGCAGATGAGGTAAGAAATTTTATTCACAGCGGTGTTCTTTTTTCTTCTTTTGTGAAAGAAATTGATTGGAGGAATTTAAAATCAGTTGTGGATTTAAAGAAAGTAATCAAATTATGAGGAGTCTGTGAGTGATGAGAGCTTTGTACGAGGGTTGGCGTCGAATCTAAATGCTAGGGCGTCATAAAACTTCATGTATAAGATTGGGCATTTGAATTTAAGCTTGAATTCTCAGATTCTGTTACGGAATTCTTCTGAAAGTCATCTACTTTGGTGTTAAATTATGTGAATGTAATTTTCAAGTGGGAAGAAAGAAATCACTTGGTCAAGTGAGAGTGAATGATTTCTAAGTAAGTTACATCTCATCCTGTCTAATGATCTGAGTGCAATGTTATAGGATACGGTTGTTGGACTTCTGCTTGCTGGAGTAGGTAATGTGGATTTGCGGAGAAAGACCAATTATCTTATTGTGGACTCAAGTAAGCTCTTGCACTCTGCAAACTTCTGTTTTTAGTGTAAGGTTATGCTTTCCTTCTTATGGGGGTCTGCTAAAGTTATATATTACTTTCAGCTTCCTCTTGTCCCTCTCCTTTCTAAATGAAGATAAATACCCTTATACTTTTGATGAATGTGAATGAAGCTAAATGTTGATAGCTGGTAAAGTATGTTGGAATATGGATCAGGTGTACCGAACTATTTAGTTCAACTGATGAAAGTTCTTGTTACGCCTTTGTAGAAACCACTGTTAAGCAAGTGGAAGACACATTTAAGGAGTTCACAACAAGGGAGGACATTGCAATTGTGTTGATAAGTCAATATGTAAGTCATTTCTGGCACTTATATGTTATTTGGTTGTGATCTATATAGTTGTTGGTGGAAGCATGCATTTATAACTGCCTGTTCTGTTCTGGTTTGGAAGCTACTGTCCATTTGATAGTCAAGTTTTCTTCTTTCTTGTTTTTTTTATTGATAATTCACTTAGATGATTAAGTTATGGTCGGAAGTTCAAAGTATTGATCACTGCTTTTCCTAAAACGCACACTGAGATGCCCTTAACTAAGAGAAGATACAGACTGCTAAGTTCATCGTTTTTTGTGCTACTGTCAGCTTTTCTATCGCTCTTTCCACTTTCAACTCTTTGGATTCTAGCAGGTATAGATGTCAAACATTTTACTTAGTTCAAGCACTCTTTCCCGTGTGGACTTTATTGTATCTTGAAGGATTACTTTGATTGTTCCAGTGTCCACTCCTCACTTCCATGGAACAAACCCATATCAGTTGAGAATTATCCCTAGGTTGATGACCTACTTTACTTTCTTTCTCAAATTGGAGCAGTAGCGTTTCCTGAGTGTCAATCTTACAGTTGACTTTGGGGCTCAGAGACATACTGCTAAGCTCTCTGTAGGAGTTGGCATGTGCCCTGTCTTTCTCATGTCTCAGTTAGTTTTGAATCATTTACAGTTAGTAACGGGTTTCTCTCTGTCCCTGGTGTTTATCTTCCAGGTGGCAAATATGATAAGGTTCTTGGTCGACAGCTATAACAATCCAATTCCAGCAATTTTGGAGATTCCTTCCAAGGATCATCCTTATGATCCTTCACAGGATTCGGTTCTGTCACGAGTGAAATACCTCTTCTCAGCTGAATCAGTGGCCTCTGATAGGCGCTGAGCAAATGCAAAGACTTGGATGGGATTGGATGATGCTCTTCCGATGATTGCTTTCTTTTTTCTTGCACCAGTTTCTCTCGATTGTACGTCTGTGGATTGATTATGCAGAGCCCTACGGTTTTAAGTTGCTAGCTATACCCTCTATATTCATTATTATACGAAGTACTATCGAATCTAGGGGTTATGTTCATGTTGATTTGTAATGGAATAACGCGGTACAACTGAGATTGTTAGTGGGATGTTTTGGATATTGCACCAAGAATGAAGCATACTTCCATCTATTGTTATCCAACCGACTTCAATTGCCTTTTTTAAGATGACTTCATTTGCCTTCTTGGTACTCAAACTCATGGCTACGGATTGACATTCCTCATCTGGATTTGGAAGGACTGATTCAACATCAAATGAACTTTGATCTGCAATTGAAGTTTCAACGTTTTTGGTTTTCTACTAACTGAGGTGCCTATGAGCGTTAAAACTGTTCAAGCTCTCAAGAGAAACATCTGTCAACCTTGTTTAATGTCGAAAGTAGAACTGAAACCAACATCAGAAGAACAGCAAAATAGTGAAAATTCAAAATTGATCCCCTACAGGCTAAAACTCTGTTGTTTCTCTATGGAAGTGCAGCCTTTAAGGATTTGGTGAACTTCTCTAATTCCAGCAATCCTTCTTCAGGAGACTTGGCTTCACCCAACAGCTTCACCATTGCGCTGCCTACAATGACGCCATCAGCACCCCATCCCGCCACCTGCAAAACAAAATAAAACGCTCTGGTAGGAATCAACAAGTTATGTAGTCGCTCAGATTATTGTACGCTCATTCTAACTAACCTGTTGGACATGTTCAGGGCTTGATATGCCAAAACCTACAGCTACCGGCTTAGTCGTTACCTGCCACAGTAACATACAGGGGTATATTTATAAAATCAAAGACTGCAGAATCACCGTCATTGCTCGATACATGAATAGGAAAAGGTTTGCATCAAGTGTGATTTATCAATTAATAACTAAAATTTACTCCTTTTTGTTTGCCCATGAGCGAGAAGGATGTCTGTACAACCCCAACTGTAATTACTCATCTCACCTCTTTTATATCTCGAAGAAGGGTTTGTACTTTGGTGCTTACAGAAGCTCGGGCACCTGTCACTCCAATTGAGCTCACCTGTTAACAAAGGAGATTAAGACTTTTTTTTTTTTTTTTGGGTAAGCAAGGAAGGTATACATCTATGGTGAAGATTTGGTTAAAAGGGTTCCTTACAAGATAAATAAATCCCTCAGAAGCTTCCACTATAGCTTTCATTCGCTCTGTTGGAGTAGTGGGTGTTGTAAGGAGTACCTATAAAATGCAAGTGTAAGGTGGTCCCTGTGATTCTATTAGTTGGAGAAGTGTTAAACTATATTCTCTGAAAGAAATGAATCTCTGCATCTGATTGCTTTCGTCCCCATATCAATTTTGACATTGAGACCATTACTTGCTTTTGAAACTCTAGCACTTACAGATTTCCTTAAGTACTGTATCAAGTATATGTAGAAATCTAAAGATAAATGTGTCCTGATTATGGAATGATAACAAACCAGTTCAATATTATTCTTGAGAGCTTCTTTCCTCAGAAGTTCAGTCTCTTCTAGAGGAACATCTGGAACAACAAGTCCTGCAAATAAGTAGAACGAACATCATATTCAAATAGAGCCATTCGGGACCACAGATGGCCAAAATTCTACCAACAGTTTATTTTACTGCAATACCAGAGATCCAAAGCTTTAAAAGTGAAACTAAGTGCTAAAAACCTAATCCTAGGACACTGGCAAGACTGCCAATCCCTTTCAACATAAAAATTTGCTTAGTCATCATCGAAATAATTATAAACATAGAGCTAATTTAGCATCTAGTATCCAACAAATGTTTTACATAACCAGTTCTAGAGCTGTATTGAGGCTCACTTAAGAGATCAAGGAGAATATAGGAGATCAAGGCATTAGGAAGTACCATGTATCCCAGTGTCCTTCACAGTAGACATAAACTGTCCAACACCGCGCTTCAGAATGGGGTTATAGTACGTGAACAAAGCAATTGGGGCGGATATTTCTGGAACAACCTGCACAACAGCAGCAGAATTAGTACAAGTATACCAGAAACTGCAAAAATAAAGGAAGGATGAAGTTTTAATCTTGATGAACCATCAAAATTCAGGTCCTTCCTGTTAATTTTGACGAAAATCTCTGAACAGAAGGCCCGTGTCAAGATGGACGAAGAATAACAAGAGTAAGAACACGAAACAGGACAGAGAGTGCAGGCCACAGCGTGTACTAGATTTCATAATAAAGTGCAACAGCAAAAAAGTTTTTGAGTAAAGGTCAATGAAGATAACTCATTAATGAAGCAGAATCCCAAATTAGCAATGAGTGGCAGAACCTATGTGTAAGTTCAAAGGTTGCCAAGGAAGCACCCAGATTTGGACTTTTTTTTATATTTTTTTTTTATAATTAGATTTGAACTTTTAGGTTATGCAAATAACAGTTACCTAGTCTCTCATATCATAAAATCAATCACGTAAAGTGCAGAAGACTAATATCCGAGATCAGCCAATCAGCGCAATTCACCCAAACGGGAAATCTTTTGTCAGCTAGATGTTCCAGGACTTTGAACATTTCATGCAGAAGGGTTAGAAGAATACAAAATCTTAAAACAAGCCAGAATCAAGCACTCATGACATGTCAGTCTCTTCAGGAAGGGGAACAGGCCAAGCTTTTCCAAGCAATCATCAAAATCTTACAAAATGGTATACACAATAAAAGACTTCTACCAATGTTAACCAAGTCTCTGGAAATCAGACATCCTTACCTTCTTCAACATGGATAGGATCGAGTCGAAATTGGTTCCTCTTGCTAAGGATCGTGTAGCTGCTGCCTATAGATCAAGAAATTTTCCAGTAAGCAAATTGAAACCAGGAACAACAACAAAAAAATGAAGGAACATTTCAAGAACTAATTTAAGAAGCACTAATTCAGTGAACAGACCTGAATAACTGGGCCATCAGCAAGAGGATCAGAGTACGGAACACCAAGCTCAATTATGTCAGAACCACACTTATCCAGCACTTTTAAAGCCTCCGCTGTGGTTGAAAGGTCAGGGTCACCAGCAGTTATGTATGGGATGAATGCCACCTTCCAAGGCACAAACATTACTCGTTAAGACAAAAGTTCTAACCTTTTCCCCCAAAGATTTACAGACTCTAAATCACGCTATCCTAAACCAAAGTACCCCCTCCAGAATCCGACACCCCCACTCTCATTGGCGCCTAAAACCCTAAAATATTTCAGAGTAAAATCACCCATTTCAAACCCCTACCAACCAGGCATGAAACAACTCAATCAGGTCACCCAATACGAGTAAAATGTTTTCATTCGTTTCAGAATCTCATACAGCCATATGAATATTATCTTTCCAGCTCGGAGATTCGACTAATAATAAGAGAAATAGTTAATCAATCGGCATTATCTATACAACACGCTGATAACAGATATAACAAAGCAAAATGGGAACCCAGAAGAACAAAATGGTCAAGAATGAAACAAAAAGAGACCCGTCCTGCGAAAGAGAGAGAGAGATTAAAAATGGAGGGGCGAGCGGGGAAAATGCGTACTTTGCCTTGGCTTTTGAGATTGGAGAAAGTTTGGGCTAGACCAACTGTGGGCGCTGCTGCGGTGAGAGTTGCCATTGGCGACTGCCGGAGTCTCCTGACTGAAACAAAGCCTGGTCTGTGCGAAGGTGAGAAATGGGCATCCGATTTCTTGAGCTGCTGGAAGCAAGCCGAGGTGGTTGATTTCAGAGCGGTAGTAGTAGCAGCCATATTCCAATTTTGTCAGAAAGGAAGGGGCTTTTGAGAATTACGAATTGATATGTGGGGAGGTTTAGGGGGAGCGATTTTAATTGTATACTTTTTTATGTAACTTTCGGGTTTTTTTTTTAACTTACTGTTTAAAACCCGCGGTATCGTCACTCCGCCCCCCATGAGCTCGGGGATGATGTTGCAGTTTGGCGACTCACCCCAATTTTCTTTGAAGACGGTCTCCGCATTGACGACGGCCGAAGCTGGAGAGCCATCTGGCGCACCCCAGCGACACAACACAACGCGTCCAAACGTTTTTTCTGGTTAGTAGCCCATCCCAGGTTATTGACTAATAGTAAAAGACGGAGGTGGCATTTGACGTCAGAGGATACTTGCCCGACTTGTGGTGGGTAGAACGAGACCACCATGCATGTCATTAGGGATTGTCCTTACGCTAGAGCTACATGGGCCGAGATGCTTCACGACGAGCCCGATGGCCGATGAGGTGTTCTTCGAAGCTGATCTTCACAGGTGGGTCTTGCATTACCTAGCGGGAAGGAGCTCCAGCATTCCCGTCAACTCGATTCGCTGTAATGTGTTGGATTCTATGGAAGAATCGTGACAAGGATGTGTTTGAATAACACATAGAACCAATCACAGCACTGTGCAATGCCGTTATGGCGGTGGAGAAACAGATTCAGGATGCGGATGTGAAGTCGGCTACAGTATTTGGAGCAAATAATAGGTACAGTAGAAGTTTGATTAGGGATGGCAATGCGGCGGGTTGTGGGTGGGTTCAGGGGCGGACCCAGTGAGGACACCCCTAAATTTTGAGAAAACAATTATCTAACTTCTAATTCTAATGGTAATTTACGCATGGACAAAAAAAAAATGATAATTGATAGTGAGGGACATCCCTGAAATTTGAAAAATTGATTATCCTATTGTTATTTTTTAAAATTTGTGTATGGGAATATAAGTGGTAAGTTAGGTAATTCAAACCTAGAACATTATTATTATTAATAAACTTAATTTTCATTGAACTACAACTCATTTGTTGTTCGATTTGAACACTGTGTTATAGTAAAGTGTCATTCCCTATCTCTAATTATTTTCAAACCTAACAATTGATTTTATGTTTGTACGACAAGTGTTGAAAGAGTCTTTCAGCTTTGGGTTACATAAAAAACAAGTTTACAAATCGAATATGCGATAAGTTCGTGAATGATTGTCTAGTAGGGTATATAGAGATAAATTTTTTTAACACTGTACACACCAAGTGTATTCTACAATTATTTCTGAATATGAAAACACACCATAAACTTTTTTAACCTGTACGAGTAAGGTATTTTCTTATTTACGATTTTTTTTTTTTTATTTTATTTTTTAAATGAGGACACCCCTATGAAAAATTCATGGATCCGCCACTGGGTGAGTTTGCTTAAACCATCCCCATCCCCAAATATCCAAATCCATACCCGCCTCA